TTCTTTCGCGCCGTACGTAGCAAACCGTGCTAATCGGAAGTGCGGTGTATGTACGTTGAACTTATACTAATAGGGTTTTTCCCATTTTTTCTGGCAACAAAACTGAAACCTTTTGCAAGGAATCATGCTTACATTAACCACAATGCTTGCAGTCAAATGCAAACAAAAACAATACTCTGATAATGTTTTGTTTGCATTTGACTGCAAGTATTGTGGTTAATGTAAGCATGATTCTTTGCAAAAAGTTTCAGTTTTGTTGCCAAAAAACAGGGGAAACCCCCTATTAGTATATTTTGGTACTGGCAAAGGAGGTCCCATGATATGTTGAACTTCTTTCGCACCGTACGTAGCCAACCTTGAGAATCAGAGGCCGTTCCAGGCTGCCCCGGCTGGCATCAAACGAGTGGTCGCGGTGCGTCACGAGGCGGCGCACCGCTGTTTGTTGCTCTCCGCTTGGCGTCTTGGCCCTTTGCTCGTCAATCGTGACAGCACAGCTCAGGGAGACGACTGGCAGTAGGAGTGAGGAGGAGGGTGGAGGACGAGGAGGTGGAGCGAGGGAGGAGGGGGAGGAGGAGGGAGGAGGAGGAGGGAGGAGGAGGGAGGAGGAGGAGGGAGGAGGAGGAGGGAGGAGGAGGAGGAGGAGGTGGAGCGAGGGAGGAGGGAGGAGGAGGGAGGAGGAGGAGGGTGGAGGAGGGGGGTGGAGGAGGGTGGAGGAGGGGGAGGGAAGAGGAGGAGGGAGGAGGAGGGAGGAGGAGGGTGGAGGACGAGGTGGAGGAGGAGGAGGAGGTGGAGCGAGGAAGAGGGTAGAGGAGAAGGGAGGAGGAGGGAGGGAGGAGGAGGGTGAAGGAGGAGGAGGAGGGAGGAAGAGGGTGGAGGAGGGAGGAGGAGGGAGGCGGAGGGAGAAGGTGGAGGAGGAGGAGGAGGTAGTGACGCCGTTCATTATGAACTGTGGAGGTTTTAGCTGACTCCGTTGTTTGGGATGGCAGCGTTTCCAATAAGAGGCGAGATCGGCCTCCCTTTCATTCCTTCCGTCGTTAAGTTACGGGGAAATGAAAAAAAACATTGATGGATGGGTAGAGTTCAGCCGGTTATTGTTTTTTTTGTATTTGCCCTTTCAAAAATAAATAAATGTATATGTTTTATTGTAGAAGCGCTGTGCAAGTAGCTCACGGCGGCGTAGACACGGCAATAATTACGGAGCAGGTAACTCCGACGCAGGGCAGTGATGACGACCAATGCGTGTGAACGGATAAGCGACTCCGTCTCTTATCGAATGACATTTGATAAAAAAAAAATCGCATTTCATTTCGAAGTCCGTTTTATGTTTTTTTTTTTCAAATCAATCGAGCCTCTCTTGGAGTCAACAAACAAAAATCGGGAATTCGCTGCCCCCATTTCCCTGGTGCCCATCCAGGAATTTTTTGAGTAAAAACAATTTTCAATGCAATTTTTTCTGCAACCCTTTCATCGCTTTCACCTGGTCCCCCTCCCCTCCCCCGAGGTCCATCACCCACAACAACAATGCGACTTATTTATGGCGCTGCCGCAGTGGTTGTCACGCTTAGCACAGCGCTGCTGGACTTGCAATCCACGGCTCGCTCGGTTCGATGCAATCTCAGGCCGCGTGGCGATTGAATCAACAACAACAACATCATCATCATCACCACCCGGAATAACGTTTGGTCTTCATAGATCGCGTCGTCCGTCGTTCACGCAAAATTGCATCTCACACAGTCACAATCCGAATCTGGACTCGTGCTGGAGGAATCCGATGAACTGTAAAGCTTCGATTTAAAGCTTTCGTGACTGCAGGGATTCATACACTCGACAGACCTGCTCTCCACCTGCGGACGGCTGCTTGCGTTGTGGCCGAAACGTCGAGATAATTATTTTATTATGTTTTATTTTTATTATTTGATTTTTTCCATTCTACGTGACTTTACCGAAAGAACCAAGACGATGAGCTGTAAAGCTCTTTTTATTTCACAAATGTCCATCCGCCGAGGAGCTGCAGACACGGGCTGGACGGCAGCGACCGGGCGTTGAACGATTGCCAAAGCTCTGATGTCCACTCTATATAAAGATGTTTTCAGCCAATTCACGAGGGTTTACGCCACGGTGGAAGTTTAGTAAATCCGCCTTTGTCCACCGCCTCCGACCACCCAGTGGTAGGAGTCGCGCGCGCTGTGGTGAAGCGTGGGTAGTCGCCACCTCTGCCAAGGCGTCCGGCCAGCTTGGAACAGCCCAAATACCGGCTACAGTGGAGGCCCTTCAGCCAACAGGGGCGTGGGCAGGCACTTGCAGGGGCTGTGCCTTTATAATTTATAATATTTTACCTTCTTGATTTGAAGCTTTCGTGGCTGCAGGGATGCATACTCTTTGGTTCTTTCGGTAAAGTCACGTAGGTATAATTTTATTTTATACCTACGTGACTTTACCGAAAGAACCAAAGAGTAATGTTTCCATTTTATCCTGATGTATATATATTTTGTTTGCCAGATTGTGACCTTTGTCGTTGTGTTGTGAAATTCAAATGACGCCGCACGTGGTGGTCCATCGAGCGTCGTCGTGGGTCACGATACGTTACCGGACTTCATAGCTCATCGGATTCCTCCAGTACGAATACACATTCCGATTATTACTAAATAACTACGCGGCCATCATGCCTCTTTTACATACTCGTCTCTACAGAACAAAACAAACTAGCAATGAAGTATTTTTTTCCACATCCCATCAGCCACGTGGCCCTCCCCTCTGGGAGTGCTTTTTTCAGCAGCCGTTCATTGAGCGGTTTCGACATTCAACGTCTCATCGACACAACCAGGCCCGAACAACAAACCGATGCTGATGAACTGCCCGATGCTTAAAGGAAAAGGATCCTCCCTTTTAGATGTGGGTCCCAGAAAGATATGGGTCCCCGTAAAACACATTCCTGCGGAGGGAGCTGGTAGGAACGTTGGGTTGCTCGGTCAATGGCCAGGGTCAACGGCGGCGTTGTGTATTCCGCAAATATGCCCCACTGTGAGGGCGGGCACAAGCCGGCGTGAGTAGGTTAAACGTTGAGTTTTATAAGGGCACCACGGGGTGACCAGCCCCTCCCCACCCAGCCCCTCCCCTCCCACCCCCCACCCAGCCCCACCGTCCCCACCCAGCCCCTCCCCACCCTCCCCTCCCCACCCAGCCCCTCTCCACCCTCCCCTCCCCACCCAGCCCCTCCCTCCCCACCCAGCCCCTCCCTGCACGACGGACACAATAATCCCCTGTGGGCTGGTGTAACCAGGAGGTTCCTACCAGTAATATAGCTCCCTGCAATATACATCTGCCAGTAAAATATGGGTCCCTTGTAACAACATAGTCCCAGTAAGAAATAGGCCACTGGTCAGATATGGGTCCGATATTCTTCTTGAGCGGCGTTACTGCCGAATGTGGTGTCTGTGTGTGTGTCTATATTTCGAAGGTGCATCTTCACACTCCTGCTGCTGCTGCTGCTGCTGCTTAGGCTTGTGGACGTTTTTCTTTACGGTATCACTCTCCTGGGTCCCTTGGAGCTTATTTCGTCGGAAGAAATTGAGTCTTGGGAGCTATTCCGTAGTGTATCGGAGGGCCGCCCTTCTGCCGGCAGTAGCGGGCGTGTGCAAGTAAATTGCAGAACTGCCCCTTCACCTTCTTGGTTCTTTCGGTAAAGTCACGTAGAAGGGAAGTAATAAAATAAAAATAATAAAACATAATAAAATAATTCTCACGACGTTTCGGCCACAACGCAAGCAGCCGACCTCATGTAAATCGAAATTTAACTGCCCTTTACACTTCACGAAATAATAATTGCGGTGAGTGCGAAAGCTCCTCCTGTACTGTGCTGTACAAACGGAGTCATCATTGTCGTCGTCGTCACCCCCCCATTACCCCCCCCTCCCCGCTGCATCCGCACTCCCCCCTCCACCTCATCTTTAAAAAAGCCCACGCGAGAAATTGCCTGTCCAGAGCGAGCGTGGGAGGGGTGGGTGGGGGGGCTTCCGTCAAGAGCGCAGAGGGCAATTGACATTTACCAAATCAGTGGTCTGCAACAGATTGTTCTCCCCCCCCCCCTCCAGCCCCCCTCCAGCCCCCTCCAGCCCCCCTCCAGCCCCACTCCAGCCCCCCTCCAGCCCCCCTCCAGCCCCCCTCCAGCCCCCCTCCAGCCCTCCTCCAGCCCCCCTCCAGCCCCCCTCCAGCCCCCCTCCAGCCCCCCTCCAGCCCCCCTCCAGCCCCCCTCC